TATTTTTTTTCTCGTATCCTGATTTGGTGCCAGATACTTGTAAATTTTATTTAAAATATGACATCATGATAGTGACTGGTATGTTTGATGAAGCAACAAAGCAGGGAAAGGAAAATTGTTTGGCATATTTGATGATGATGATGATGAGGATGATGATGATGATGATGATGATGGTGATGATGATGCTGATGATGGTGATGATGATAATGGTGATGATGATGGGGATGATGCTGATGATGCTGATGATGATAATGGGGATGATGATAATGGTGATGATGGGGATGGTGGTGATGATGATGATGATAATGTTGATGGTGATGATGATAATGATGATGGTGGTTATGATGATGATAATGATGATGAAGGTGATGATGATGATGATGATGAAGTTGCCATACATCTCTTCAATGACAGCTGTCGGAGCAGGGGACGGCAGTGAACTGTTTATGGAGCTCCGACAGGACGGACTTCTCATCTTTGAATGTAACCTGGGCACACAGGTCAACTGTGAGGTATGTCGCTGTTGTTGTTGTCGTTCTTGTTGTCGCTGTTGTAGGTCATAAGTATGACACATTATGTGTCGTGGTGTCTAATGAATGTGTTGTTGGTCTTCAGTATGACACATTATGTGTCGTGGTGTCTAATGAATGTGTTGTAGGTCATCAGTATGACACATTATGTGTGGTGTCTAATGAATGTGTTGTAGGTAATCAGTATGACACATTATGTGTGGTGTTTAATGAATGTGTTGTAGGTCATCAGTACGACACATTATGTGTCGTGGTGTCTAATGAATGTGTTGTAGGTCATCAGTACGACACATTATGTGTAGTGGTGTCTAATGAATGTGTTGTAGGTCATCGGTCATCAGTATGACACGTTATGTGTCGTGGTGTCTAATGAATGTGTTGTAGGTCATACGACACATTATGTGTAGTGGTGTCTAATGAATGTGTTGTCATTTCATGTACCGGTGTGCACCAGATGCGCTGATCATCATCACGTTGTTCCTATTCGTAGATAAGAACTAGACAATGAGGAGTCGTTAAATCTTTAGTAGTTGTCCCTGTTGTTGTTTTGCTTTAAATGTAGCTGTGTTTTTCACCCCATCCATACAATTTAGATTATTTAGGAGGCGGGCTTCTGATCCTCCCTGTCAGGGCGAACCCGGGTTGTAAGGAGGATATAACATCCCAGCAGAAAGACCGAGATCCTCGTTATAAATAATTCCACTGTGCAGTTGAACTTGGGTCTCCTCCGTGTGACAGCGGAGTGCCTAACCACTACACCACAGACACCGGTCCTGTGTTGTTTGTGTGTGAAGCTGAAACAAAATTTTAATGTGAAGCAGTGTGGGGAAATCAGGCACTTGTCAAAATACAGAAATTGGAGAAGGAGGCATTTTTCAGAGAGTTTGGAAATTTTTATCGAATTTTTATTTTTGGGCTCAACCTCTTTTATGTCCATATGAAGACACATTTCCGTGCTATTTTTTTTTTTTTTTATGTTGATTAAACACAAAAATATGGACATTTTCAGTTTTCAAGGACTCTCCAGCTATTGGAGGTACCGAACTTCGGCGGCCATTTTCTCGCTAATTTAAACTCGGAAACCAAGTGACCCCAACCTTCTTGCTTCAATTGCAAAAATCTCGACTTCTATTCAAGATAGATGGGTACTTTTTTCACCAAAAGCAAAGTAAATGAGCAAGCTTTAAAAAGGTATTCATAACTTCACATGCCTAAAAATTGAGGAGCTCCTGATTCCTCTGCGTCATGGCACAAATGTCTACAGGAGAATACCCAGCTGTGTCGGACAAGACACTATGTAAAGTTCCTGAATGGATGTACTGGAAACCAAATGAAATATAAAATTTTCACAACTGAGGTCGCTTTCCTATCCTCGCATAAAAGTCTTCACTAAAACAAGGCCTTAGAAAAATGCTTATTTGAGTCAACGGCATTTTCTAAATTATAATTTATTGTAGATATGGTGTAGATATCTGATGATAATCTCATACCCCCTGTTTACTTTTCCCTGTGAGAGAAGAATAAAGTACTAAGTCAAATCATACTTTCTTTTTTTTTTCATTTAGTTAATTCATTGTAAGTCACATTGCTTTCTCATTCTTTTCATTCAGTTAGTTATTATTTCCTATATTTTAGTACCTTAAAATCCTTATCCACAGTTATTAATTGTTATTATTCCTAAATTGCTGTGACTTTTGCACGTTGTATTTGCAGGTTTTAAAATACACGGACGACGACAGCATTGTCCTCAACTTACAGAACTGTCCCAACATCCAGGGAGACATCAAGATCATGTTCAAGACGGAAAGTGTAAGTAGATTAGCCTGCACACATTTTTTTTTAAAACCCTGTCGAAGTACAGTGCAAACTCTCGATAGCGACATCGTCGGGACAAGAAAAAAATGTCGTTACAGAGAGTTGTCACAGGAAACATGGAGGAGATGCGTGGAAAGGGACATGAGAGAAATGAAGCTCACTTGGAACGAGCTTGGAAGGATGGCTCAGGACAGAGATAAATGGAAGGAGCTTGTATGTGGCCTATACCCTGCCAGGGGTGAAAGGCATTGATGATGATGATGATGATGATAGAGAGTTGTCATTATAGAGAGGCAACCAAAAATATTACAAATGATATACATTGTATAAGGAAAATATTGGGACTTGGCACCATGTCGTTATACAGAGGATGTCGTTATATCGAAGGTCGTTATAGAGAGGCTGCTCTGTATATTTTGTTTGTTTGTTTGATAAAGAGAAGTACATCCATACAATAATGATCAAACAGTACTGCGAAAAAGTGACACAGATAGACAGAAAGTACTGAGGAAATAAGGGAAAAAAATGACACAGATAGACAGAAAGTACTGAGGAAATAAAGGAAAAAAGTGAGACAGATAGACAGAAAGTACTGAGGAAATAAAGGAAAAAAGTGAGACAGATAGACAGAAAGTACTGAGGAAATAAAGGAAAAAAATGACACAGATAGACAGAAAGTACTGAGGAAATAAAGGAAAAAAGTGACACAGATAGACAGAAAGTACTGAGGGAAAGAAAAGAAGTGAAGTGTACCAGTAGCGGCCTCCAACTACTTGCTCTAACTCTAAGTATCACGCCAAAGTCCAGTAGTTATGTATCCCTCAACAGTGTGTCATGATAGAAGTAATAATATATATAATATTTGCCTATTTCACTTTCATGATGTATTATATAGTTAATAAAGAGTCCGTCGTGACTTCTTTTCTCTCAAAAATAACTTTGTGTGCCTGCGTGATCTTTTGTCTTTTGCAGAAAAAGATTCCAATTGGATACGACAAGTGCCCGTTCTATTTCTGGTTCTACACGTCGTTCATTGAGGACCACTGGTAAGCGGATTGGATTGGGTGTGGGGGGGCTGGTTACTCAAAAAAAAAAAAAGGAGACAATATCGATTGTGTTTGAGTTTTCTTTGTGGGCCTATTCCTATCCCACAAAAGTAAGTTCTTTTATGTTCATATGAAGAGGGGTGGGGTGGGGGGGGTGTATTTTAGTATTTTTAATTTTTAAGACGAATTAACTATAATCCTTTCTGAGCATGTGCTATATTTGAGAGAATTTTCTTTTCAAGAATAAAGTACTGAAGTGCGTAACTGACGTGGGGGTTTTGCCATTTTCGATTAATCAATTTAAAACAAAGTTGAAGACAAAGTTTTTCAGAAAAATATATTTTCATGGAACTCTTTATCTGAAATATCTTTCAGTTTTGTTTGTTTGTTTGTTTTTTAAAAATTTATGCATGTTGTAGTGGTACTGAGCTTAAAAGCTTTTGTGTGTGTCTGTGTGTGAGTGTGTGTTTTGTAAGCGCCACCGAGCACTTTTTGTGGATTCTGGCGCGTTATAAATTCATTTATTATTATTATTATTATTATTATTATTATTTTCTTCAGCCTGGTGATCCCTCGAGAGGAGCTGGACAACCCTCACAAGAAGAAGACCCACCACGTGTTCCAGGAGCACTTCGCCGTGGAGCTGCGCTTCGAGGACGTTCCCGAGTTATGACGTTCCGATCCTCACCTATAAACGGCCTGTGTAGATGCAGAATCTTCTTTACGTATTTATTTATTCAACTTTTTCATGAGATAATTTTAGTTATTGACTCCCTTTTTTTTCTTCAATTTTTCCCCTTTTTGTAGTGTCAACTTTTGACTTTGTGCACAGATAGGCGTGATAAGTATCGGTCGGTACAAGATTGCTGGACTTACATTTTGAAAGTTGTAAGTTCAGTTCCTTGCGTTGCTAAGTAGGACATTTTATCCTTTTGAAATTAAAACGTTTTATCATCATGAAGGTAAAACATTTTATCCTCTAGAAGGTAGAACATTTTATCCTCTAGAAGGTAGAACATTTTATCCTCTTGAAGGTAGAACATTTTATCCTGTGGAATGTACTTATAAAATGTTTCATCCTTTTAAACATAGAACGTTATATCTTCTTGAAGGGTATTTGACTCTTTTTCCCTCTCTATACTCAGGTACAAGTGAGTACTTGGCAATCGTCAGTGATGCAATGTATTTGTCAGAGGTAACAGTTCACTCGTAAGAGGCTTCAACGTCATTGACCCAAATTCTATTTGCAAGTGGGGAAATGTTTATTGAGTATCTCAGTCTTTCTGCTGGGATGTTTGTATCCCTCCTCCTCTCAGCCTGGGTTGGTCCTGACAGGCAGGGTCAGAAGCCCGCCTCCCCAATGATCTAAATTGTTACAATTGTATCAATGGGGGTGTAAAAACACTTATGTGAACAAAGACCCAACTCTCTGAAGTTTGAAGTCATCAAAAGACAGGAAGCCCTTCTAAGCCGCAAGCGTTCTCCTTACTAAAAAAATTACTTTAATTTGTCAAATGAATCATTGAGTCATTCGAGTCACAAATGCTCAACTGTGGGAAAGAACAAACCAAAGGCCAGTAAAGGAAGACATACAGGAGAAGAAATGGAAATGGATTGGACACACCCTGAGGAGACCCCCGACAAGCATCATCAGACAGGCTTTGATGTGGAATCCACAAGGAAAACGTAAGAAAGGAAGACCAAAGATGACATGGAGGCGAGCAGTACAAGCGGAAATGGAAAAGGCGGGGACATCATGGAAACAGATAGAAAAGGATGCACAGGACAGGCTTCTCTGGAGAAATGTTGTTGATGGCCTATGCTCTACTAGGAGTTAAAAAGGGCAAGACAGAGAGAGAAAAGAGATCCTTGAGTCATGAATGAGCCAAGATTTGACTGCGTGAGCAGCAGTGACTGAACAAGGTTCATCCATCTCTTGGTCACAATCTGTTTCCTACAAGTTCTCAAGCTTTTAATATATATATATATATATATATATATATATATATATATATATATATATATATATATATATATATATATATTATATATATCTTCCTTGTTGTTTTAGTAAACATCATACTCTCAAGTGTCAAGAACCAGATCACTTGGGCAAAATGCATGGCCTTTTCAGAAACCTTGATTTTTTTTTGGAGTTTATTACTCATTTTAAGTAATACTATGTTCGTCACATTCCATTTTTAGGTAGCATTCCATCCGTTGTGTCGTAACATTTATTATTTTTTGTCGTGCCAGACATTTTGCGGTCTGTGCAGGTGTCTGGTTGTTTCCAGTAAAGTTCGATGACATGGGTAAAGTGTAAAGAGTTACAGTATTTCCAGTTGCCCGTTTAATCACTTTTTAAATATATATATATTTTCAGTTCTCATGTTTGCCAAATTCCCATGGTATGCACACATTCCACTCTCTGTAGGATAAAAGAAACGATTTGTAAATCTTTACTTTATGAAATCAAAACAAAATTCCTGGGGATAAATATATGTGGCCAGCTGAGTTAAAAAATTATATTTATTTTAAATGAATTGCAGTTTCTTAATCTGTGGAAATGTTCTAGAAATATTTTGTCAAAATTCTAATTCTACTTTTTGAAAAGATCCAGAAAATTCAGAATGTATAAAGAACGTTGCTTTCTTGGCTTGGTACATTTGAACTGCTTGTGGGTGAGAGATCATATATATATATATACAAAACCGTAACCATACATACATATATATATATATATATATATATATATATATATATATATGTATATATATATATGTACGCGGTTACAGGTGACCCAACCTCTGAAAGGCTCGGGCTTGTGACGCAAACGATGCAGTTATTTACTGGCAGTGATTTAAAAAGTACAAAACTTGTCCTGTACAACAGATCTTTATAAAAGAAGACTCCACTGAAAAAACGGGCATAGTCACTTACTGGAAATTACGAGGGTGTCAATTTTAAAAGCTTGTGGACTCATAACTTCATATTTGTTTGATTGGTGGTTTATTTTATATGTATGTTGGATGGTAAATCTAAAAGCAATAATCGACCAACAGCTCAACAGAAATACAGTTATGAGTCAACAAGCGTTCAAAATTGGTACCCTCGCGATTTTCTGTTTGTGACTATGCCCGTTTTTTCAGTGGACTCCTCAAATGTATTCTTCAGAGACCTAGCTCAATCGTTCTGTTTGAATGAGAACATGACAGGATACTTAGAATGAGAACATGACAGAATACTTAGAATGAGAACATTACAGGATACTTAGAATGAGAACATCACAGAATACTTAGAATGAGAACATCACAGGATACTTAGAATGAGAACGTCACAGTCACAGAATACTTAGAATGAGAACATCACAGGATACTTAGAATGAGAACGTCACAGAATACTTAGAATGAGAACATTACAGAATACTTAGAATGAGAACATTACAGAATACTTAGAATGAGAACATTACAGAATACTCAGAACATCTGGTTCTATTGTTTGTCTCATGCGCTGTATATTGCCGTCAATATTGCAGAAGTTTTACAATTGCCGGGGTTTTTCTTTCTTTTACTTATTTTTTTCTATGAAGCAGACGACAAGACCATCAGGCTGTTTGCATGTCACCGCCCATCACCCTCAGTATGTTGAGTTGTAATGCTGCAGAATAAATTACCTTCTGAATTGCACCCGCAGCAAAGTTTGAATGACTGTTATGTTTATTGGTTTTTAACCATGTTTTGAAAAAGTCTAGCTAAAATTGTTGAGCCACCCTCTTTTTTAACACTGCTTTCAATGTGAAATGTTTGAAAAATGAAATATTTGGACAGCAGCTGTATCAGTTTCACACATTTTGCTCGCAGATATATTACCTGTATGGGTTGGGTTTTTTTGTGCAATATCTGTGTTTGATGTAGATCTATTCACGTCAGTGTGCTGCCATTATTGCGGCTAGCAGGGTTGATAGGGCTGTCCCCGTCGTTTTATGCAAGAAAAATTATGAAATTATGCAAACTGAGCCCAAAAATGTGAAATGATGCGATTCTGTTAAATTTTAACCAAGAATGATACAGGAAAATAATCAAAACTTATGCATGCAAAAAATGATCAAATTTTGCTAAATTATGCGGGGTGCATAAAACCACGGGGACAGACAGATAGGAGTCGATAAACCTATACTGCCGTTATTTAGAGGCATAAGTTGTGGTATGACGTGCAGATGTCGTTATAAAACATAGCACAGGCCGGCATTGTTGAATAAGAGACTCTCAGAACTGTGTTGAAATTTTATTGATGGGATCAAACTTTCCAAAAATGAAAATTCGTTCAAAGTAAAAGTGTCTCATGACAAGCTCTCTGCACTTTGAACTCTAGTTGCTGTACCTATATATATATATATATATATATATAGGTTGTGTCTTCTAAGTTGGAAGTGAGGTTAAGAAGCTGGAAATATAGCTTGAACTTTTGGAGAAGACTTTCCTTCATATGACCTTATGCAGTTGAGAGCGCAGTAAAAACTCTACTAAAACTTTTTTAGAAAGTCTTTCCTTTTGCGGTAATGAGAATAAAAACAGATCAAATCAGTAACTTCATCATATTGTGCCAAGCACAGATACTAAGAGAACTTAAGGTAAGCTGCTTGTCTTTGTCAAAGACTGTCTCTGTAACACGGGGGTCACTGCCGTCACTCGTACTCAAGAATAATCACTCAAAAATGGGACCATTCTCCTTGGGTAAGGGTTTTTGGGGGGTTTTTTGTTTTATTTTTGGTTGTGTTTTGTTTAATTTTATTCCATCTGCTTCCATTTAGATGTCTTCCTTTGATAAAAGTAAGTTGGAACGGTCCTGTGTTATTGGTGTTCCCAGGTCAGAAAGGTCTGGCTGTGCACAGTCATTGGTCGGTCCACTGGTCGGAGCCAGCAATTCATCGCCATTCATAATGTGTGTGTGTGTGTGTGTGTGCATTTGTGTATGTGTGTGTGTGTGTGTGCTCTGGAACGTTTTGTAAAAAAAATGTGAAGCTTGCTGACAAAATGAGTTACTTCTCAGATTTGCTAAAAATTAAACAGCACCTGGACACGGATGGCTGGTGCCTCTATAAATAACTTTTTGTTACTTCTCGGATTCAAGCCTCAAGGAAATAGATACCTCACACTCATAGGTAGAGTATTTACAATTTATAAGTATGAAATAATAAAAGACAGTTTGTAGTTTAAGAATATGGCATCGATAAAAAGTCTAAAAATTTGACCCTTATGTCGGATTTTGGCCAATATCTCCATTTGTGGATTGCGAGAAGTAACTAATTTTGTCAACACACCTCACTGTTATAATTGGTTTTGTAGCACCACATAATGTTGTGTGACGTTCTTTTGCCTCTTGCTGAGGAAAATTGTCTACGTCATTTACGATTGTCATGTTGTTTTCCCTCCTCTCCTCTAGCATGGCCAGTTTTTGCTACTCAAATGCCAGCAAAGATTCTCCAATAGTGGAGTATCTTTGGATACTCCAAGTATCTTTGGATACTCCAAGTATTTTTGATGCCAGCACAGTTTATTTTTACCATTGCTCATTATTTGTTGAGTTTTATAGGTCTAGGTAGAAAATAACTGTTACGTTAAGGGATCAAAATGAAAACCCAGAATTGCTTATTTTCTTCAGATTTGTTTGTGGTTGTTTTGGGGTTTTATTTTACATAGAGGCTCTTTTTCTTTTTCTTTCTCCAATGTTTTATTTTACATAGAGGCTCTTTTTCTTTTTCTTTCTCCAATGTTTTATTTTACATAGAGGCTCTTTTTCTTTTTCTTTCTCCAATGTTTTATTTTACATAGAGGCTCTTTTTCTTTTTCTTTCTCCAATGTTTTATTTTACATAGAGGCTCTTTTTCTTTTTCTTTCTCCAATGTTTTATTTTACATAGAGGCTCTTTTTCTTTTTCTTTCTCCAATGTTTTATTTTACATAGAGGCTCTTTTTCTTTTTCTTTCTCCAATGTTTTATTTTACATAGAGACTCTTTTTCTTTTTCGTTCTCCTATTTTTTATTTTATATAAGAGGCTCTTTTTCTTTTTCGTTCTCCAATGCTCTTAATGGTTCATAATATTGAGTAGCTACATTTACCTTACTGTAAGAGAATTGTAGACAATTTCTGGCACTTTTATCACTTGTCCTCACTGTAGTCATTATAGTTTGTTCCACAATGTAGCTCAAGTTATCCAAGACTTCTGGATGACACACAAATTTGTATTCAAGATAATGAGATATGATGATGAAGTAATTGCTATTTCACTTGAACGTTTTTTACTTTGCTTGCAAAACTTTGCTTGGAAAGATGTTGTTTAATGTGCAATACGAATTTTACATGAAAGCACAGTTGAAAGAGAGGTGCTTTTTTTCATTGTTATTAATTAATCTTTCTAAGGCATTTGCATCTCAACACATCGAAGAAACATGTTTTTGAGTTTTATGATGATAAACTCTATCATATGCACTGAAGCATACAAACCCTCTTTGACTTCTTACCTACTTAACTCATGGACCAGAGTAACTGATCAAGTGCACAAAACGAGCGTTATGTCGCTCTTGTGATAAAACAAGCTAACCCACAGAAT